AAAAAAAAAAAAGAATTTTTAGTTAGAATTGATTTTCAAAACCTATATATAATTTCTCAAATTATGTGTTTATAATATAATGTATATATAATATAAATCTCATATACAATGTTTCATATCTTAGTTTAAAGTCTACAAACATTATTTTAAATGAAAAACATAAATCTCTTTCGATTCGATTTGGGCTACCTCGACTTCTTCAGTTAACTTTCCATTCACTTTTGATTCGGAAATATAAATAACATAAACATCAATGACTAGGGTATTTTAGGCGAGTAGGGGAACCACAGGAATGTCGTTGTCAATTCTCATGCTTAGGCCGTGTTCTTCCCCACATAAACCAGATCTCTGATTGTCTCGCTCTCTCTCTTTAACTCTTGCAGACGCGCGTTGCATCAATCCCAATCAACGCGCCGGCCTTTGTGTGCAGATAAATGAGTGCCAGACTCTGTATTCGGTGCTGCAGCAGTCGAGTCTGTCGACCACGGAGAAGCAGTTCATTAGAGAGTCAAGCTGTGGAATGGGCCAAGATAATCGTCCATTTATCTGCTGCACTCGAGATACTGGCTACACGCGCAGTTACCGTGTGACGCCCAACTTTGCCGACTATCCGGACTTTAGTGACCTCAGCGAGGGCTACGATTTCGGTTGGAATCGTGCTACTAATACCCCAGCGCCAACCACACTGCTCTTTCCCAGCGATCGGCGACCCTGGAGCTTTGGCGAGGAGCAAAGCGCCGACAGCAGTCTGTCGCAGAGTCCGGGCCGTCAGAGTCAGGGTCGACGCCAGCCACAGCAGGTGGATGGCTCGGCTCTGTTGCCACAGCCGCCCGCCTGCGGGGGTGTCACCATTGACAACAAGATCTATGGCGGCGAGGATGCCGATCTCAACGAATTCCCCTGGATGGTCCTGCTCGAGTACAGACGCCTTGCCGGCAACGGACTCTCAACAAGCTGTGCAGGCACCTTGATCAATCAGCGCTATGTGCTAACCGCTGCCCACTGTCTAGTGGGACGGATCGTGCGAGAAATTGGACCACTGTAAGTAGAATTTCAAATTTACTTCCGAACAGGTTTCATAATTTCATTCAACTTTCCGTTAGCCGTGACGAAAATTCGCACTGCTTAATCATACGTAAAAAAATTCACGCATTGCTGCGAATCGAGCTGCGATTTCCAAGCAGCTAATTAGCCGCTATGGGGGACTCCAGCTAACCGCTTGTATATCTTTTTTTCTGGGTGTGTGACGCTCTGATTGTTATTGTCTAAATGTTTAAGAATATTAATTAAGTTGGCCAAACCAGATTCAAAGCGTTTAGCGACTTCTGCTGCTGCTGCTGCCTTATTAACGTGATTCATTTAAGTCTTGCTTTGGGCTGGGTTAGGTTCGGTGTTTTGTTTTTTCGCTGGGGAAGGGGAAAAGGGTGGAGGTTGGGTTGAGAGGGGGTGCAGGTGTCATGGAACGGCGGTTCAAAGTGGATAACAATTCGTTGCGCTCTTAATTTACTCGACCGGCTGCTTTTGCTTTTGTTTTCGCTTTGCATTGGGTGTTTGGCGGCTGACCCGTTCGCACTTTTTAAATTCAATTAGCAATATATCTGATTTCCTGCTAAACAAGCGCGCCCCATGCTTTAACTTCAGTTTATAAATTTGATTTTATTACTTAATTTGTTATATTTTAGTGCCTCGGCGCGTCTGGGCGAGCACGATACACGCTCCGCAGTGGATTGCCCGAGAGGCGGCGGCCCCTGTGCGCCGGCTGCCCAGCGCTTGGGCATTGAGGAGGTGATCGTCCATGAGCTGTACAAGGAGCGGACGCCGAATCAGCTGCACGACATTGGATTGGTGCGGCTGGATCGAAATGTGCACTACTCGAGCAGCATACAGCCAGCCTGCCTGCCCTCGGTGGTGGCGCCGGAAACGAAGAGGGCGGGACAACAGTATACGGTCGTTGGCTACGGCCGGACCCTGCAAACAGCACGTAGTCCGATCAAGCAGAAGCTAACCGTTAACTTCGTGGAGCCGGCGCAGTGTAAGCGTAAATTTTCGGAGCGTAAGATCAGCATAATGCCCACACAGATGTGTGCGGGCGGGAAATATGCGCAGGATAGCTGCGATGGTGACTCCGGCGGACCGCTATTGCGGTTCCGTGACAATGCCTGGGTGCTGGAGGGCATTGTCTCGTTTGGCTACAAGTGCGGCTTGAAGGACTGGCCGGGCGTCTATACCAGCGTCGCGGCCTATGACATCTGGATAAAGCAGAATGTGAGAGCCTAACGAGAGCAGCGCTCGCCCTAAAACTAAAGCTCGAATTGTGATCTTGCCAACATACTCGTTTATACATACAACCATATCAATAACATATTTAATATTAGTCGTAAGTGTTTTAGCCAAAATAAAAGAATCTAGCTTAGAGACTATGCGCAAAGTGAATGAACTGGCTTTTGAAAAACCTTTGGATTTTCCAGCACGTCCGTCGATACAATCGCCTGCCATTGACATTGCCACCACACTTTAATTGGCCACAGCATATAAATATAAACCGCAACAAAAGCTTCCGGTCACAATTGGCCAACACAATAACAACAACAGCAGCAGCAGCAGCAACAGCTGTAGAAGCAGCAGCAGTTGAAGCCGTTCCAGCTGTTCTTGGACTTTGACCAAAGCTTTTTGTGGTTATGGCTCGCTGTCTTATATTAAATGTGACTTGGATGAATATTGATAGGGAGATGACATAGATCCATAGTTTGCATATGCTTTAAATATAAATGAAGAATATGTTATTGAAAAATTCTATTTTTATTTGCTTTGGCCTTTCAGACTTGGTAATTTTCCTTTCTTAAGGCAATTTCAAAATATCTTTTCTATTTATCATTTCTGACATTGGCAAAGCAATGCTACAGCCTGTGGTCATGTTTTCATAGCTCCTTTTTGCTCTTATGTATAGATATATCCAAATTATAATTAATAAATTTGCCCTGTGTAACTTTCGTTGTTCTATGGAAGTTTATTAACTTACCATTCGAACTTAGCATTATCTTTTTGCTATAAAAATTTTGTTTGTAAAAATGATTTGTTGGTCATCTGGACAATCCCAGCCCTATTGGTCTGTTCGAATTGATGTTTTAGTAGTTGTGAAATAAAAAATATGTCAGATTGTTCAAATAGCAATATTTTATATGATAAATGTAAACATGTGTTATTCGGAGCATATCAAATAATATACCGATATATATATGATATATAGAGCAAAACTTTTGTTTTATAAACATCATCTGTATATGAAATATGTACCATCACTAGTACCCTAATCAACCTGATGTCGAAACTCAATTTAAAACTAGCTATCATATTTATATGATTATTTATGAGACAAATAAACTTTTAATGTATATAAACAAAACATGCAACATTAGAAACCCATATAGAGAGCCTTGACAGTTACTCAGTTGAAGCACCCATTCGTCATGTCTCATTGGCAGCAGGGACATTTCAATTATCAATCTAATAAACATTTAGTTACTGGAGCTTCCAGTTAATTTTAGTGTTGGAGTTTCCAACTTGATATAGGTATTAGTAATCTTCTGAAAACAATTGTAAATAAGGGTATAATTAAGGGCTCATATGTGTATATCCTATATGATTCACTAACTGAGACAATTTGAATAGAGCGTATGTCTGATATAATATGCATACTTGTAATTAGTCATATCGATCGATCTTTCATCCGTTCTCTGCTCCTATTGATCTAATTCCATATTCAATTGCAAAAGCTCTCGCTCTCTCACTCTTCCCTAAAAGCTTTTGATGGCAGCTTTTAAAGCTTACCCTAAAAGTAGGCAATGTCTAATCGCACAGCTCGAACGCCGAATGAAAGTGAAACCAGAAAACACAGCTGACGGCTGATTGCATAACCGGACCCGCGTACCAGTTGCCAGCGTGCGGCCAGCAATAACAACAACAACAGTAGTAGTAGCAGCAGCCACAATAACAACGACAACGACGCTGACCGTTGCTCCCGTTTCGTTAACGGCGATTGCAGTTTTTGGGCTCGTTTTGGTGTCACAAGCTGGCGAGGGCTGTGGTCGTTTATTTATTTATTTATTTACCTATTTACTTTTGCTTTTTGTTTTCGTTTTTTTTATTTCTTTTTGCTTTGTTTTTGTTTTTTTTTTTTTTTGGCACTTTTAGCTTCGGCTCTTCCGAGTCGCTGTTGTAGTTTCGGCATCGGTTTTAGTTTCGGTTTCGGTTGACGCTGTCGCCGCTGCGCGCAGCATTCAAATTGGATTTTAATACACGGCCGAGCGTTCACGCGAGCGGATTCACTTTTCGTATGCGTTTTCATACGCCGCTCAGCAATCCACAGTCCACAATCAACAGTCAACAATCAACAATCAACAATTCGATATTCGCGACATTTGCTTTTGAGTATTGCACGCGTTCGCGATTGCGTATACGTCGCGTTGTTCCCCGCCTGTTCGCCTCTCTGTTTGTCGACGTTGGCGTCGCTCTCGTTAAAGCATCGCATTGTTTGGACCTGGACTCGGCCAATCGCTGATGTACCCTCACCCAAGCAGCGGCGCATTGTGGGTGGCCAGCACATTGCTCGCCCTTGCCCTGCGCATCACAGCCAGCAGCGCTGAGTCTCAGTCTCAGCCGCCTCAGCCGGCGCAGCTGGCTTGCGATATACCCAACGAAACAAAGCGTGGCGTTTGTGTACAGGTGAGCCAGTGCGCCGCCTATTTACAGGTGCGCAATGTGACGAATTTGAGCTCGGAGCGCGTCAACTTTCTGAAGAAGGTGCAATGCGAAATGGAGACAACAGTGAATGCAACGGCAATAGCAACGGTAAATGCAACGGACACAGCAAATATAACAGCAACTGCTGCTGCTCTTACGATAGAGGATGCTTCGTATAATCCACTCGTATGTTGCCCAGCCAATGGCCAGGACTATCTCTATCCGGTTATACAATTCACCAAGTTTGAGTATCGTCGCTTTCTGGATGTAACCGCGCGCTTCAAGCGGAAGAAGTTGAAGAGACGCATTCAAACCGTGGAGCCCAGCACGGGCTTCAATCTGCTCAACGAGTGTGGCAAGCAGGTTACGAATCGCATCTATGGTGGGGAAATTGCTGAACTGGACGAATATCCATGGCTGGCATTGCTGGTCTATCATTCAAGTAAGTTGCGGCTCAGAGGGCGGGACTGTCCGAAATACAATGTGGGATAGGAAAACCGAATTAAAAAGTGCTTCGATCACTTTGATGATTTTATTAAATAGTTTGAGCAAATATTAAATTCAAATTAAATAGTCGCCTTTTCTCACCATTGTCCTTAGATGACTACGGTTGTAGTGGAGCTCTGATTGACGATCGACATGTTCTGACAGCTGCGCATTGCGTTCAGGGCGAGGGTGTGCGGGAACGTCGCGGCTTGTAAGTCTGTTAAGTGAGCTTTATTTAAGGGTCTATTAATTTCATCAGTGACATTATAGGAAACACGTGCGTTTGGGGGAGTTCAATGTCAAGACGGAGCCGGATTGCATTGAGGAGCCCAATTACTTGAGCTGTGCGGATGCGGCACTGGATATTGGCTATGAGCACATTCATGTGCATCCGGAGTACAAGGAGTACTCGAGTCACAAGTACAATGACATTGCCATAATCCGACTGAAGCATCCGGTTAGCTTCACGCACTTCATCATGCCCATCTGTCTGCCCAACAAGACTGTTCAGACACCACTGACCGAGGGGCAAATGTTCTCCGTCTCCGGCTGGGGACGCACCGATCTCTGTAAGTGTTGACCTCGCTGGCTGGTATAGTACCCCTCTTCTAACTCTGATCTCTTACAGTCAACAAGTATTTCATTAATACGCACAGCCCGATCAAACTGAAGCTGCGCATACCCTATGTGTCCAGCGAAAACTGCAGCAAGATGCTGGATCTCTATGGTGTGCGACTGGGTCCTAAGCAACTCTGCGCCGGCGGCGAGAAGGCAAAAGACACCTGTGCCGGTGACAGCGGAGGTCCGCTCATGTTCTTCGATCGCCAACACTCGCGCTGGGTGGCTTACGGCATTGTAAGCTACGGATTCACGCAATGCGGCTCCGGACCGGGCGTCTATACATCTGTCCTAAGCTATATTAACTGGATTGAGAGCATAATCAAGAAATAGAGAGGGAGTGGAAGAGGGAGCATAGAGGGGAGGAGGGAGCTTCTCTCTGAGGTGGTATTGTGAGAGGGGGAGGGATAGATAGAATGTTTTATTGACGTCAAATTCTGTTTAAAGCCAATTTCAATAGAGCAAAAATTGAAATCTGAACCTCATTAAGCTATAAGAGGGAGAGGGAGAAGATCGACAGGTCGCGACGGTGAGGAAAGGGTGGTTAGGCAATAGAAAATATTGACGTCAGTTAATACTAGGGTTCATATTCCAATTAGCCAGCAACTGGATCGAGAGCACTACCGACCTAAAGAAATAGAGAGAGCGAGAGAACGGGAGAACGGGGCAGTAAAGGAGGGCAGAGAACGTAAAACGTTGATATTAGATTCTTATAGACGATTGAGAGCCATATTAACTCATAGACGAGGATGGAATGTGGAATATTGACGTCAGATTTGCAGTGCGGACGTATTTCAATGTGCCGTTAACAGCTGGCGCCTATACGAAAGGCGGGTTGCGGAGGGGGTCGGTGGCCATTGGACTGAACTGTTTCTAAATATTTGTACATATTTTGCTAATTATCTAACAGTTACTTAGTGTGAATGCGTGTGTGCATGCTGTTGTGTCAGTGCGTGAGTGTGTGAGCGTGTGTCTGTATATGTGTGTGTGCTTTAGCATGTGTGTGTGAGTTAACAAAAGTCTGAAAAACATGTTTCTATTGAAATAAGCTATTAAAATATTTACACACACTAGCACGTTTTCCTTATTAATCAAATGCCAGAAATGTTCCAAGACCTGAGCTGATCTTGGCTCGGTTCCAGCTGCAATTGGAGGTTGTCGATGCTGCCGCCATAATGACTCATTGCAGTGGAGATGGGGGGAAATAAAAAGGAAACAGATAACAATGAAGAAGAGTTGAATTTACTGTTTGCACTTGCACTTAGCTAGCGTCGCATGCCCTTGAGCCCCAGGACTGCGGGGCGTGTCCATGGAAGAGGCGACACGTTAAGCAAATGATTGAACAGACAGCCGAACGGACAGCTTACCAGCCAGACAGTTATATAGACAGCCAGTCAGCTGTTTCACTTTTTTTTTACATCCCTGTCAGCAGCTGGTTAAACTTGATATTGCAGTTTTAAATACACTAACAAGGGGTATTATGATTTGGTAAGGAAGTACAAAAAGTATAGAGATGTTTGAGAAGCAGACAAATAAAATAAATCAATMAAAATCTAAAACATACAATACATACATATTTAATTAATATACATTTAGTTGTACTCTAAACTAAAAGTTTGTATTCAATATAATAATATTACATATAATTTAATTTTGAAAATATCTTGACTTTATTGTGATATTAAAAGTTTGATTAATGAGAACACTTTATTCTATCTCTGTACAATACAATATGAAAATTATAATTGTCAACTGCTCTAAATAATAAAATCTCAATAAGAAGAAATTTGAAATTTAATTCCTTAATCTAAGACTCCGATTCAGTCAACTGAAATTCAACTTTTATGGCCAAATAGTCTAACTCGGTTCCTCTTTGAGAATACAAAATCGTAATTTAATATATTCGATCATAATTAACATTGTTAGAGCATTTAACCATCGAGTTCCACAGTCATCGCTGCTTCTATATTCAATATATATATGTATACTTTTTCGTCGTCGTTTTGATGTCGTCATTGATTGCCACACTTTGCTTTCACTCATCATTCGCGTGCAGTCCAGGCAGGCAGACCTGGCGTAGACCTGGCTCAACGCGGACTACGGCCGATTTCGAACGTGAGCAGTGATGCAATGCGGGCCAAATTGAGACGAGCTGGGCATGGCCAAGTCAAGCCAAGCCGAGCCAAGCCAACTCAATTCAAGCCAAGCCTAATGCTGCCCAAATTCAAATCGATGCCATTCATCAGGCCAAACCGAGTTGGCCAAAAATAGCCCAAAGACAGGGCAAACAATTTGTATGCACAGTTTGGCAGCGGGCGCTGCTGATTCCAACTGTGCCACTGACCAAAATTGGTCACTGGCCAACACTGAATGCTGATGATGATCATCATCATCATGATGATGATAATGATAGAGTATGCGTCAGCGTAGTGAAAGTGAACTTGACTCTTTGACGGGTTGCTGCGAATGCTGCTGCTGCGGYTGCTGCTGTTGTTGTTGCTGTTAATGTTAATGTTAATGCTATTTATGCTGATATGTGTGCGATATGTCGCATTAATATTCATGATGATGTTCAACAGTCAGAAGAAGACAGTGAGGCATTATTGTTGTTGTCTCTGTTGCTGTTGTTGCTATCGCTATTTGCGCAGCTCATTACGAAGCTTTGGCGATTTTCGTTAACCTTGAACTAAATAGAGATATATTTATGTAAACATGTGTATATGTTTACATAAATGTTAAACGAATGTCAGGAAATTGCCAAATGTATTTGACATTGAAAACTGAAAGAAATTTTGAAATAATAATTCACTAAAAGGTGTGAATTATATTTAAAGAAGACATTGAAATGGATGCATTACCCGTATTACTCAGAAACTTTACGTGCTCAGCCACGCCCTCCTCTTGCCAACACAGCATAGTTAAGTGAGGGGTTATTATTTTTTGTGGGCTCACATTTGTCCATTCTGGGCATCCCAAAGAGAATAATAAGTGAATAGATGTAACCGCAAAAATTGAAAAATAATGAGAAGTAATATTCGTTGAAAGGACAGCCAGCTAATTTGTTTAGAGTACTATGGGGCAAAACAGTTCAGCTGCCACGCCCACTCAACTTTGAAAAAATTCCAAATTGTGTGCTGCGCAGTAGAAAAGGTCGCCTAATCGAATTTAAAAGTCGAAGCAACCCTCTTGCAGTGGATAATTGAGTTGGGCCAGAGTTTTTGCCGCAGAGGCTTTTGTGTAAAAAGTTTGTTTGTTTGGACAAAATTGGAAAATGAATAGGTAAACTCCATAAAATTAGCCATATGGCCGTAGCTCTACAGGTGCAGAACCGTTTTGCCTCTCAGCTTTGCCAGTGACGTTTTATTAGATGTTTCGTGTCGTTTTTTATGTGCTCGCCAATTGGATTTCCATTTATGTGCAGCTGAGCAACGAAATGCATAACGATAAAAGTTTATCGATTTGTTAATTTCGCGAGCAGCTCCAGTATCAACAACAATATCAACAAAATGCGACAGACGTTGACACTGCCATTAAATGTCTGTCACAGGACAGGACAGGACAGGATACGACCATCAAACGCTTTGCATGACAGCCACATATGTATACAAGAGGGGCGGGCATATGGGAAAGTGGGCAGGGTTCAAGGGTAATTCACATGGGCATTTGGGTGAAATTGTTGTGGAAACACAATGAAATTAGAATGCGAAAAAAAAAAGAAATAAATGTTTATAATATATATATGTGTGTATATATTGAGAGTATCGTTTTCATTAGTTAATGGATGTCAGAATTACAGAGAATATAAAAATAGAATTAGTGCAAAGTGGGAAGAGCGAACGGCGGGACTGAGAGACATATGTATATGCGTTCTTATCAGAGTAAAAGCATTTTACGTATTGCGTCTTATGTGTCGAACGGGAAGCATAAATAAAGGCTTACCGAGAGTCAATAAAAACGAAGTTTTTATACACTTGCTGCATAAGAAAAGAAGAAAGGAAATCATTATAATGTGCATTACTTATAATGTTAGCTGAAGTTTGTTATATGTATTTTTAGTTAACTTAATATTTAAGCTAAGCCGAGACTTATATTAACATATATGTATTTATATAAAGATTATTGTATTCTCGAAAAACTCAACCTTTTATCTTACTATTAAACAACAATCGCTTTTAGCCTTTCAAACATACAATGTATTTATTATCACATGAACTGTTATTCACGTCTATATCTTAGGCTTTTTAAGAGTTCTAGTATTTATTTGGTACTATTTTGGAGCATGATCTAGATATGAAAAATAGAATTTAGACTTGAATTATGGGCACTCTGAAACTAAACTGTATGTAGCAGAGCCACAACAAAATATTGTATAATATAGAGTATATTGTTCATACCTATATAAGATAGTGTTTAATTAAGAAATATATGTACTTAAACATTTGTTCTCTCCAGTCAATCAATACTTCTCCAGCGGATATAGTGTATAATCTATATGTGTGCGCGTATATGCATATGTATATGCACTCCACAGACACTTGATAATCTGGTCGGTCGTAAACAGTAATTTATTTATTATATCAGTCAGAGTGAAAAGCTTGAGCTTAGTACACGCATAAACAAACGCATATATTGATATATGAATTACAATTAAATCAAAGTATTATGTGGCGCTATTGCATGATCTTAGCTCTATTGAGTGTCCTGCTGCAATTGTGTGATGGTAGACATCGTCATTCTGTGGAGGTACGTAGTTGAAGTCCTTGACAGTCAGTCGCACAATTTGAATGTACACAGATTGAGGCAGCTTCAACTGAGGCATTCGCTCATGCGGGACCGGCGGCCATTATGTTTGGCAATCCTCGACCACTGCAAAGACTCCGATTCAGCCCAAAAAGGACGCACAACAACAAGGACCAAGGTAATCGTGACAGAAAACGCAAGCATCACAAGTATCAGAGGTCGACTAGAGCCACTACCCGGAATTCTTTCAAGCATCACTAATATTTGTACAAAGTGAATTTTATTTTGCATTAAATGCGACAACCAAAAAGTATGCAATAAATGATAAATAAAGCTGAGTGAGCGGCATACTAAATTGGGGAAACTCCAGCTACAGTAATGGCAGGAAAAAAAATATAATAATAATAATAATTAATGTGTGGTTAATTGAAAACTCTTTGATTACAAATTGTTAAATTGATTGTTTATTTTCTTATGAAGAGCTCTTAGAGCTACACTACAGGCCATAGTCAAAGCAAAGGGTATATCTTGTATATTGTATATAATTTTAATAATAATATATTAAGTTTTAATAATTCGTATTATATTTGAAATAGCTCCAAAACTATAGACTGTAATCTCTAAAAATTGTTAGCAATTCAAATCGAACTCCTGACTTGAGTATTTATATAAGAATGCAATATGTACCTTCTTTTAGTTTCCAAATTCCGTAAGAGATTGTGTTAATAACTCACCTCCATTTCTACAAATTTTAAGAGTTTGC